GAGTCTTTGCATATTTACCTTCTTTCATTTCCCAGATTCTGGACTTTATTTATTGACCGGTTTTGATTTTTATTTTGATCTATTTTGAATTGCGTGAAACTGAAAGCCAGCAATAGGATAATCTTGACCGAGGTCGTGGGTACAGACCGAAGTCAAGATTCTCCCATACAGACCGACTAAGTCCGTTTATTATATGACGCAAACAAGAACAATTTAATCCGTTAAATGTAACTGGTTTGTACTAACTGATATTTTGCTTGCGAACGCCAATGAGCTGAATTTAATTCTGCCAAAGTTTGCTCGTCCTCTTTACTTTTGTTTTTTCTCGTCATGTTTTTTGGCACTGCCATAAATAAATATTGTTAGATGACAATAGTCTATGATTTTGCATTTTAGTTTGCAACTTTTTCACTGCAAAACATTACAGGTCTAGATGCCGGTCTAGATGGGAAAATCTAGAGTGCTTTCAATATCGATTTCAGCCAATCAAATTCGTGCATTTGGTAGTTCCCAGTCATTTTGAGACAGAGCCATATAATAAAACGTTCTTTTTTTTCGAGTTTATGGACCTCGACTCCGGCATCTAGACCGGTAATGTTTTGGAGTGACAAAGTTGCGAACTAAAATGCAAAATCGTTGACCATTTTCATCTAAAAATATTTATTTATCGAAGTGCCAAAAAGCCTGATGAGGAAAAAAAGTAAAGAGGGCGAGCAAACTTTGGCAGAATTAAGTTCAGCTCATCGCCGCTCGCAAGCAAAATGTCAGTTAGTCAGGTTAGTACAAACCAGTTACATTTAACGAATTAAATTTTTCTTGTTTGCGTCATATAATCAACAAAGTTAGTTGGTCTGTATGCGAGAATCTTGACCACGGTCGTGTATACAGACCTCCTCCTCGGCTAATAAGAGCTAAATACAAACTAGAGCGAGTTGTTCCCTGTGCATCATAGGAGTCCCCGCATGATTAAGGAGATTCATGTTAATATATAAGGTGTAGATATATTTATGTACAGAGTAAATCTCAGTTGAATTGCGAGGTGCGCGAGGTGATCACTGGCAAGACTTTCTTCGGAAAGAGAACCTTCGGCGTGCGAAGTTTGTGAAGTAGTTTGTGAATTCGATTTCTCAGACAGAAAAATTGGCAATCTCGATGGTAAACCCAGTGTCGACAACCAGGATAGCAGCGTACAGACTTTATCTGTAACCAGAAATCAACAAAGCACTAAACTGTTCACTCATAACCTTTCTATTACATGTTCATTCGACCAGCTGGTGGAGGTTCGACGTATTACCAGATCTTACTATATTTTTCCAGATCTTAGCTGCAAGCTAACTGACTTCAAACAGACATATCTACTTGTGGGATCCTGCGATGACCTTTTAATGTAACCAGTCAGTCACATCATAACCTCACGATCGCCAAGAAGATTCAATATCTCGCCGAGAAAAACTCTTCGTCTGCTCTTCCCCCCCCNGCATTTAGATTTGGATGTTTCGTCTATTTGGATATGAAAATCATTTTCATTGACCAACTGATGACCCGTGCTACACATTACACATTCATTGCTGGTTACTTACTTACAATTGTTGTTTGTTGTTATTTTAGATGCCCATCCGCAGACCGTTATTTCTCGGGTCACGTGGTTGGATAATAACACTTTGGTTAGCGCTGGTCACGACTGCTGCCTCCGTTTTTGGTCCATAAAACATAACTAGGTGTTATTGCACCCTCCCCTCCCTTGCATTTCTCATGTCTTGTCTGTTAATTAAGTCAGCGATGGTTATTGTGTGCTAATTCCTAACAGTGATCACGTGCCTTTTGTGTTGAACAATCGGAGAATACTCCGTTCAACCTTCAAAAAGTCAAGTCTCCGAATCAAAGTCTGTCATTTATCTCCCCCCTCAATCCTTGTCTTTGTTGTCCAAGAGCTCTTCAATGCTTTGGACAAGGATGTGAGCGAGAGGAGAGAAAATCTTTGTGCTGTTATAGTGTAAAATGTAGATAGTGAGCGCGGTACTTGTACTTGTAGTGTATTTTGATAACGGATTATTCACAGGAGTAACATAAGGTCATGCGTAAAGTCATTTCTGTCCTCATATGACATTGTTTTTTGTTTTTGTTTGTTTGTTTGTTTGTTTTTTGTTGATGTTTTTTTCTAATTGAGTTGAAGGGTACTCCACACTCACCGAATCAATTAATTACAAGCACGAGAAGTCCTGTTATGAAAATCAAACAATAGTCACCTGGGCAATATAACAGACAAACAGTGTTGCGCAAAGAAAATATCTTAGTAGTATATTTTCTATCGGGATTTTGTGATGTCTTTTAAAGCTAGATGTTCAAGATTGCATTTTGGAATTATTTCTATCAACACTTACCAAAGTAATTGCATTTAATAAAGAATGTTATGTAGGACTTGGCTGGTTTTGTAATAGTCTATTGGGATTTGCCCTGGAAACAGACTAACTGATGAAGAAAAATGCATTACTTTCTAAAGAAACTGCATGTTGAGCTGCGTCGGTGGCAAGTGAAACACTAAACCAGTTATCAAGTTGAAGCTGAAAGAGGTAAGTTAACCTTCATAGCTGATGCTGATGTATCGAGCGTTCTTATCTATGCTTCTGTCTTTACTCTGACCATAGTTAAGGTGGCCGAACACAATTTTCGCGCGCGCTTTTGCGGATGCGATTCAGCGCGCGCACAAGGATTGCAAAAAACAAACATGCCCTCAACAGAGCGATCAGATTATTTGCCCAATGCCCGCATTATCTGTGCTTTTTTTCTCTATAATTGAACGCAGTGTATTGATGGTTTTAATCTTTTATTACAAAGATATGTTAGAAAAGGCAGCGATGCAAAGAACCCAGCAATTCTCGGCTTTTTCGTTGTTACCGAAAGAACCCAGTTTAAATGCAGCGCATGCGTAGTAAGTTAAAAAATTGCGATTGAATGAAAAATTGCTTTCTCGGAAATACGCCTTTTTCTCAAGAACCACTCATTAGAATTTCACGAAATTTGGCACGAAAATACTTTAGGAAATAAGTAACTGGAGTATTGAAAAAATTTGAACTTTAACAAAAGAAATTCTAGATATTCCAGTGAACCTTCAACAAGGGATAATTAAAGATCTCTCTGTTAAATTATTATCAAAATGGTGTTAACTTGTGAGTATTGTTACAAGCTTGTTGTATGCAAATTATAAAGAAAATCTAATGACTAGATTTTCTACAAAATCGACAAAAGCGATTTTAAAGGCCCGTTTATATTTATTCATGTTGCCATGGCAACGGCACATACGTTAGCTAAACTATCAAAAAAGACAAAGTTTGTGTTGTTAACTTGCTTGCTGCCAATTTTGGTGACCGAGGGATCAAAGGTTTTAGAGAAAAAGGTGAATGAAACATGGGTATCAAAAACTGTGTTCAGCCACCTTAATAAAGGGGAATGGATTCCCTTTTATTAACTATGTTCTGACGTGGTCTTTGACGACGGGCAAACGCTTAAAACGTCAGTTTCATAAAACTGCTCCTACGGTTAACGTATCTAGCAATTCAAGTTGTAAACAGCTACGTGAAACTGAAGAAACTTTGCTGCCTTACATCGCGTACGTGTTTGAGTGGCCGACATTCTTCAAAAGTATCAAGATTTTTGGACGTTTTTTGTAGAACTTCTTTGGCACTTTTCAGGAGATTCTTGAAATCTTATATTGTAACTTGTTTCACCGTTCATGAGCCATGTGGGCAAGAAGCAAAAGATTCGGCGAATAATTGTCACAACGCACAGTAAGTGCATTTTGTTTAAGAACAAAAGAAAAATGATCAAATTCCGGGGAAATTGCAGGAGGAAAAAGCTCACCGTTTTGGGGCCTGAAATATGCAGCTGCAAAGACCGCGACCTCAGTTTAGAATTTCACCAAAAGTGAAGTATTTAAGCTGTTAACCTGAAATAAGACGCTAACGGGGGAAGGAAAAAAATTGTCCTTTACCTCTTCCCGTTCGCCGAAAAAAGAACGCCTGGTCGGAGGTTATTGTTATTGTATTTCACAGCAGACTTCATTATACATAGGTTTAGATCCTTAAAAAGGAAGCAAAAAGCCAAATAGGAATTTCAAGAATTAGTGCATTAGGCATGCGTTTTTATCCCTAATTAATTCTCTTCTTTTGTTTTTTAGTAAGAAAACAAAATGCGAGAATTAATTCGGAATAAAAATGCATGCACACTGCACTAATTCTTGAAACTCCTATTTGGCTTATACCCAGACAGTAGTAGTGGGAGGCGCGGTCGACCTCGGAGCAAACGTCCATTGTGTTGTGTTCTTGAGCAAGACACTTAACTCTCACAGTCCCTCTCACCACCCAGGTTTATAAATGGGTACCGGCGAACTTAATGCTGTGGGTAACCCTGCAATGAACTAGCATCCCATCCAGGGGGGAATAGACATACTCCTAGTCGCTTCATGCTACTGAAACCGGGATAAGCTCCGGCGTGATGAGCCACTTGGCTCGTATGCAAACTTTACCTTTTTACCAGACAGTAGTATTCCTTTGGGAATTACGTTAATTCAATTATTCTAGACTTCCCGTAATTTGACCCTGTAATTTTGGTGGTGTTATATTTGCTGCAGTCACATCGATATCAACACCGTTTACTATGTATTTTGGACGGGTTGTGGTATCGCACTTATCAGCAGTTAGCGGATGCAATGGGCACGGTGAACAGTAGGGTGTTGGGCCTGAATAGCACTCTGTTTAGCCAGAAGAGCAGTCCGGTTGGCCAGAAAAACCGTTAGGTTAGCCTGTTTACGGTTAGCTCTCAATAATGGAGCAAGGTTAAATCTGGAGTATAGCGTTGAAGTCGAAATAGAATTTAAAAAAAAATTACCGGCCGTGGTTCACGTTCTCCAGACAAAGCAGAGTTTGGTACTTCTTGTTTTGCTAAGTGCGGCAAAGAATTGTCATATACTTAATCATAACAATTACAATTTCCTCAAATGTGATTGGTGCATAAACTGCTGTATTTTGTTCTAATTAATCTGCAAAGTTGTAATCGGACACCTGTAAACTTCCAGTTACATGAGCCAATCATTTTAAGTCCTCTCCACTAAATTCACCAATCACAACAGTGATTACAGTCACTATAGTAACCAAGTCAAGAGACTGACTGTAAAATTGTCGAGGGTTAGTCTCTACGGGTCCGCAAATGATCCCGGACCGCAAATGATCCCCAAATTGAAACGCAAATGATCCCGGACCGGAAATGATCCCTATATTGGACCGCAAATGATCCCGATCAAAAAATGACGAATGGCATGGATTTATATCAGAGGAAGGTGAGAACATGTACAAAAATTGTGAACTAAAAAACATGTTTTATCATTTAAAAAAATATATATATTCCACAGTTGCTGTTTTGTTCTTCGAACGGTACAGATCGTTTTCACTGTCACGCGATAAAAAATAATAAATCGAAAACCAACCAGTGGAAAAAGCTAAGAAATTGTGATGTACACTATAGAAAATAACTAAATAAGACACTTCTCCAAGTTTTAGGCTTGTGCGTTTCCCCAAACTTCAGAAATTCGTCGTAAATGTTCCCCAGAAATTTACAGAGCCCAGTAAGAAAACGCCATGTTGGTATACAT